GGCTATACCATCAAGATGGTGTCAGAAATAAACCTCCCTTTCTTCTCTCCTGGAATTACCAAGGAAAGTTGTCTTGGTATGAGCAAAAAAGGGACAAAGTTATTTCTAAGAAGTGTAACTGAAAGCCAATCCTCATATAGATTTGCAGCCTGAATTCATAATATGTAGATAGTTTAAAATAATGTCAAAGTTTAAATGTTACTCTCTCTAGATACCTGGGAAAAGCAAATGCACCTCCCCTCTGGAGGAAGTTTATTTTCAACCTATCAGAGAATTTCCATAAATAATTTTTAAGGACAGTGACCAGGACACAATGGGAAAAAAGTAAAAATAACTGAGCATATAAGGAAATAAATTACCATGTATAAGAACTAACAGAAAAAAACATAGACTATAGAAACAGACCCACAGATACTTTGGATTTTGGCATTATTTCTTAAGAATTATAAAACGACTATGGATAGTATATTTCATGATATAATAGACAAGTTTGAAAATATCTGGCAATAACAAGAAAATTTAAAAAGTGATCCATCAGATCTGGAAGGAAACCCAAGGAAGTTCTGTAAATGAAAAATGAAATGAACACAATCAAAACTTAAGAGACTTAACAGCCAATTAGACCTAGTTGAAAAGAGAATCTGTAATTTAGGAAATAGCCTAGAGGGAATTTTATGTAATGGAGCACAAAGAGAAAGGAACATATGGGAAAGCAGTTAAGAAATTTGGAGATAGAATGAGTTGAAAGGTTTAAAATCTGCTTGATTGGAATTTCAAAAAGATAAAGAAGGTGGGTAAGTGTAATATTTAAAGATAATGGCAAATAATTTTTTCGAACTGGTGAAATGCAGTAATCTGTACATTAGACAAGCTCAACCAATTACAAATGTATTCATTTAAAAGAAATCTACCCCAAGTCACTTCACAATGAAATAACAGAGCACCAACTATAAAAGTGAAAAATTCTAAAACAACCAGGAAAAAAGCAATTATCTTTAAAGGAGTGCATATCAGTCATTGACTTCACAACAGCAGCAGTGGAAGTCAGAAGACAGGATAATAAATGATATGTTCAGCGTACTGAAGGAAGTTCATTGCCAACTACCCAGAATTCTATACACAGGAAAAATGTCTTTTAAGAATGAAGATAAAATAGGGGTGCCTGGGTGGCTCAGATGGCTTAGGTCATGATTACAGGGTCTTGGGATTGAGGCTGGAGTCGTGTTCCCTGCTCTGCCTGGCGATTGCTCCTCCATCTCCTTCTACTGCTCCCCTGCTTGTGCTCTCTCACCCTCTTTGTCAAATAAATAAATAAAACCTTAGGAAAAAAAAAGAATGAAGATAAAATAAAGATACTTTAAAACAAAATAATAAAAAACAAAAGCTAAGAGTTTCCCACCAGTATTCCTGCACTAAAAGAAATTATAATACCTGTAATTAAGCAGAAGGAAAGTGACCCCAAAAAGATGGTCTGAGTTGCAAGAAGACCTAAATAAAGAGCAAGAAGGGGCGCCTGCGTGGCTCAGTCCTTAAGTGTCCGCCTTCAGCTTAGGTTGTGATTCCAGGGTCCTGGGATCGAGCCCTGCATCAGGCTCCCTGCTTGGTGGAAAGCCTATTTCTCCCTCTCCCACTCTCCCTTCTTGTGTTCCCTCTCTCGCTGTCTTCTCTGTCAAATAAATAAAATCTTTTTTTAAAAAAAGCAAGAAAAATACCAAATTTGTGGGATAAAGCTAAATGAACATTGACTGTATAAAGCAACAATAATTATGTGTTGTGGGTTTTAAAATATATAGAATTAACATACACTATAACAGTGTAGTGTAGGAGGTGGATAAAGATATGGTATTCTAGATCCTTGTATTATCTAGGAAGGAGCTATAGTAATTAACCTGAGATGTTGGTAAGTTAAGAGTGCATGTTCTCATTTCGATGGTAACCAAAGAATAAAGAGTGTTCAGCTTCTAAAGGAATAAGGAGGAGGAGGGGAGAAATGGAAAAGAAGAGAAAGAGAAATGAAACATAGAACATGTGGGTCAAATTGAAAGAAAAAAAAAATGTCAGATTTAACCTAAATATGACTATATCAGCAATTCCAATGGTACCAAGCCAGTGGCTTAGAACAAGAGCCATTTTCTCCCGAGTCCGCAGGTCCGATGGTCGGCTGTACCTTCAGCCGGGGTTCTCACGCATCTGCAGCTGCCTGTGGCTTGGGTAGGCAGCTGTGCTGATCTAGCCAGGGCTCTCACTTATTTGGGGGTTGGCCAGCCATAAACTGCAGCCTCAGGGCGAGTTGTCTTTGCTCCACGTGGTCTCTCATGCTCCAGAAATCTGCCAGGGCTTGTTTTCATGGGAGAGGCAGGGTTTAAAGAGAGAAAAACATGCAAGGACTCCTGAGGCCTGGCCTGAGAACTGATACTGTTATGGAGGTAGTCAGCTCAGCTGCAGAATCACATTGTAAAGGGCATGAATTCAAGGGAGCTCATAATTATGACCATCAGTGTTATCAGTGATAAAGTGCAAATGTACTAATTGTTCTGGTTAAAAGCCAAAGATTGTCAGATTGAGTAAAAAAATGAAGTTCAGTTATATGTTGTTTACAAGGGACACATCGGAACATAAGGTTACATAAAGTTTAAAAGTTAAAAAGTGAGAAAAGATAACAACATTAATACTAACCAATATAAAAACAGAGTAACCATTGAGGACTAAAAGACTGAGGTTAGAAGCAATACTAGAAATAAATAGGATCATTTCAAAATAATAATAAGTTCAGTTAATCAGGAATGTTCAGATAAATTTGCTGATTTAATTTGTATGCACCTATTAGCATAGCCTTAAAAACCTGTAAACCAAAAATTGACATTACTACAACTCCCCAATTACAGTGGGAAGTTTTACTATATTTTTGAGTAATTTTAAAAAGGCTATAAAATACTTGAACAACATGATTAACATATTTGATTTAATGGACATTCGGAGAACATTGCCCCCAATAACTGTAGAACACATGTTCTTTACAAGCATGCATGGAAATTTATAAAAATTCACCAAATGCTATCCATAAGGCAATTGTCAACAGATTCCAAAGGATTTACATAGCCCATGTTTTCTGTTCAAAATTCAATTAGCTTTAACAGTTATTCAGTGTTAATCAGGAAATCTGCATATATCTGGAAATCAGAATACATATTTCTAAATAACCTACAGGTTGAAAGACAGTTTTATAATGGAAATTACCTTGAACTGAAATATAACAAAAATACCACATTTCAAAACTTGTGGAATCAAGTTACATGATGCTAAATGAAAGCATTTTAGCCTTTGAAATGCATCCGTTAGGGAAGAATAAAGGCTGAAAATGAACGGAGCTAAACATTTATCTAAAGAAGTTAGGAGTCAGCGCCTGGCTAGCTCAGTCGGTAGAGCATGAGGCTCTTAAAGAAGTTAGGAAAAGAAAATAAAGAAGTTAGAAAGAAAAAAAAAATAATCCTGAAGGAAGCTAAAAGAATTAATGACATTAAAAAACAGAATAATGAGGGGCGCCTAGGTGGCTCAGTCTTTTGGGTGTCTGACTCTTGGTTTTGGCTCCGGTCGTGGGCTCAGGTTCCTGAGATTGAGCCTCACATTGGACTCCACTCAGCGGGGAGTCTGCTTGAGGATTCTCTCCCCCACCTACCGCTTTCCCCACTTGCAAGCACACACTCTCTCTCAAATACATAAATAAATCTTAAGAAAAAATAAAAACAGAATTAATGAAAAATTGATTATTTGAAAAGACATGTACGTGGTAGAAAAACTACATATGCATTGCTTTGATAATTAAAAAGTCAATAAAGAAAATGCAGGTAAAGATCTGTACATCACTCACTTTCTTCTTTATAAAAGTGAGAAAATGATACAACTAAATATCCAAAACAAGGGCCTGATTAGGTAAACTGATTAACGTCACAGCTGAATTTTATTCATGCATTAAGTTTTAAAGACATAGAAAAATACTTATTATATATAGCATTGAGTGAAAATAAGTGTACAAAATTGGATGGCTAGTATGATCTTAACTTTTTACGAAAATTCATAGAAAAAGCCTATAAAAACATGTTGAATGTGAACAATGTTATAGATTTATATAGATTTATGAGCTATAGATTTATGGGTGATTTTTATCTCTTTATACTTTTCAAAATGTGTACTTCTTAAAATTTCTAAAATTGCTGTTTTATACTTTTAAATTTGAGAGGGAAAAAATTTTAAAAGAGCTATTCCTCTTCTCTTCCCAGTCTTTAGTTCAGTTTACAGTGAAGTAGTAATACCCCTTCACTTAGAGACACCCTGAGTCTGGTGGAAACCAGAAATCAACTTTCATGGGAGATGAGTCGTAGTTCTCTGCCTAGGCTTATGGGTATGCCAGTGATGCTCCGAGAACTGTTTATGTTCTTCATAATCAAATGAAGTTTCCAGTTTCATTATTTACCTCCTACTAGGATCTTGCCCCAATATGCTAACACTTGGAGGTTTTTGTGTTTTGCTTATTTTGGTTTTGCTAAAGTTAAACCAGTATCCCATTCCATTTTCTATCTGTGAGTAATACTACTGAGCTGCATATTCGAATTACAGACTATTTGTGTGATTTATAAGAGGTACTATATGCTTTATGAAAGATAATGACTTAGAAAGTTTGGCCTACTACATCTTTAACTGGGTTGTTTTGTGCTCTGTGATTATTTACATTTTATATTGATTTCTGTAAGGTAGAGTTTCTTCATTTTAGAAATGGTTGAGATGTTTATGTTGATGATTGGTAGTTATGAAACAAAAGAATTTGGGTTGTCTAGCTTAATTAGTAGAAAGATTGGGGTATTGAACTGAGTTCAAATGAGTAACTCAAACTCATGAAGCAGACATTCCAAAGCGCATGTTTCCCTTGAAAGTCAACAAAAAATAGACATATTTTAATAAATCTCATTAGTAACTCTCTACATCCCTTGACTGTCTTTCTACAGAAAGAAGCAATTCCGGTATCTGCTAGAAACCAAAGGAAAAAAACCTGGCCTCATCAATGAAGAAAACAGTGATAGCAAAAGACTTGTAGGAGAAAACACAAACCGAGCTACGCTAAATTATACCACGAGAGACTTTTATAACGAAAGGCTAGAGGTAAAACCACTCTCAGTCTTTGGCATCTGGTGCCTGGATGTCTCCCACCTGGCATGGGACTTGGCAGTGGTACATTTCTCCCTTTACTCAGTGAAGATAATTTGTTTGTGTCCTGGAAAGTTAGCCAGCCTTATGTCAGGTACAGCTGAAGACAGTAAGCACCATGGCGTTGGGAAGAAGTAGAGTCCATAGTTCCAATATCTTTATTTCAGCAGAAAAAAAAAAAAAATGTTTCAAAGAAATCTGTACCAAAAATTTAGACCAAACTGGACCAAGGGTTCTGATCTGCCTGAATTAAGACAAGAGATGCAGGCTTGCTGTGAGTGCTTAACTGGCCCATGTCAGGTTGTGTCCTTGATGTTCTCATTCACTGCTTTCATTCTCCTACTGCATGACCTTCTGCATCCTTAATCATGGGGTATCATTTTAACCTGTTCTGTTTCCACTGTAGCTGCTTAGCCAGAAAAGCTGGAACTAATTCTTTACTTCTTTGTATTCGGAGGTTTATTGGAGGGATACAGTGTTAGGGTGCCGCAGGAGCTACAGGAAGAAAAGCATGTAGTGCCTGCCTTGATGGAACTCATAAGAAAGCTGAAGAAATAAATCCTTTAAATAACAATAGAATGTGAAGGTTCTGCAAGAGATTTTGAGGGGACTGAAGGACAAAAGAGCAAGACAAAGACAGCAGGAAGCGCTCACTGACTGAGCATCCTTAACTGATGTTCAAGGCACCGTGAGTTATATATATTTAAATAAATATATATATTTATATAACTCACACAGGTTTTATATATGTATTTTATATATATGTATATGTGTGTGTGTGTATGTGTGTGTGTGTGTGTGTGTGTATATATGTATGTATATATATATATATATATATATATATATATATATATATGTCAGTGAAATGGCCGGGCAAGTGGTTTTCAGATGTTTTTAAACAGCCATGGGACTCTTTATTCAAACCACATTGTAGCTGAAACCCAGTATGTCAAAACAAAGCAAAAACAGCAGAGCAGCTGTTGTTGTTGAGGGGAAGGAGGGCTTCAGAGCTTCATTTGATCGGCTTGTCTATTCTTTTCCTTTCCCCTCATCTCACCCCCAGTCCTGAAGCATCTCTTTGGAACCAGAGGGTCTCTAAGGATTACAGCTTGAAACACACCTTGAAAACAAAATGCAGTTGATGTTTTATGGCCTCCTAAAGGATGTTCCGATTCTGCTTTAAATTATTCGAGTACAAAAAGTACTGCTTCATGAGGGAGCTTTTATCACTGAACAATTCCATTGGTGAAAACAATTTTTACCCACGTGAAGCTGAAATCTGCTTCCTAATAACTTTTAATTCATGACCCTAGTACCACCTTATGTAGAAAAGAGAATTTGTCTCTTTCTCATGAGAACTCTTCAAATACTTGAAGTCAATACCTTGAAATCCTCCCCGACCCTAACATTCATGCTTTTGCTCAAAAAGAATGTGCTAAGCACCTGTCGCACAGATTACGTGGGCTGTAAGTAGTCACTGTCCTTATCCTCACGGATCTCACATCCTAATGAAGGAGACAGACTTATACAGCGATGGTTATAAACCAGTATATAAAGAGAGTATGGGAGGAATATCTTATCCAGGTCAAGGGAGGCTTTCCAGAGAAGAGCTTCCTGACACCAGTCTTAAATGATAAAGTGTAGCTAGATAGAAGGAAAACGAGAAATAGCACGGTATGAAGAAAAGGCATAGAAGCACAAAAAGACATGGAGAGAGCCAGGATCTATGAGCAATTCATTCTTCAGAAGCACAGAGATTGGGGTAGATGGTGTTAAAAGAAGGGACGAGAAAGGTAGTAAGAGTGCTATATGAAAGGATTGAATTTAATCTTTGGCTAATACGGACTTCCTGATGTGGCCAAAGGAGGAAAATGAAAGCCAAACTGACAGGATTCTGAGTCTTTGTCTTCTTGAACCAACTCAGTTCCATGAGTCAAAAATTAATACTAATTTATTTTATAAATTAATATGTATAAATTTTATTATAAATTAAAAATTATAATAAATTTATTATATTATATTTATATTTATATATAAATATGATAAATATGATAGAAATATAAATAAGATATATATGATATAAAATATAAATATATATTATAAATATTATAAATATAATTATTATATTATTTGTTTATATAAAATTAAAATTAAATTTATTATAAAATAAATTTTATTAATTAATACTAAAGACAATTAGAAAAATATCAAAAAGCTGCATGCAAAACAAGAACAATTTCACAGAGAAATCAACCACCTCTAAGGAATAGACAATTCCAGTGATTTTTTAAAAATTGTGCAAGAGTATTGCAAAAGAAGAAAACGTTACCATTTTTTTTTAAGGCAGGTACCATAACATTAAATCTGAAACCTGCCAGCATTGGAAAAAGAAAAGAAAAGCCAGACCAAAAACCTAAGAATATTGATGATGCAAAAATATTTTTAAAAAGGAAGAGTATCAAGGAGACCACAGCAGAACATTAAATGAATAACAAAACATTACAGCCAAGTGTAGTTTATTCTAGGAATGCAAGGAAGATTCCTATCAGGAGATTGGTCTAAGTTGAAAAGTTGTGATTATTTCTTTAGACATTGAAAAAAGGCATTTCACACAATTCAACATCCATCCTTAATTTTTTTAAATCAGCAAATAGGATAAACAGAAAATGAAGAGCAAATATCATGCTTGGTGGGGAAACTCTAGAAACATTAGCATCAGTGGTAGGCAAAATTCCGAGTAAGATGTCCTCCCTGATTCCTACACCCTGGTATCCCTCTCTTCCGTGCCGGTAAAACCTGTGAGTTGCTTCTAACCAACAGAATATGCCAAGGGTAAAGGGATTTTGCAGATACAATTCAGGTCTCTAATCAGTTGACTTTGAGTTAATGGAAAGGGAGATTATCCTGGATAAACCTGACCAGGTCCTCTAAAAGAGGATTCAGGCTACTGCTGGCCTTGAAGAAGTAAGCCACTGTGTGAGAGGGCACATGGCCAAGAACTGCAAGAAGCTTCTAGGAGTTGACAGCAGCCCCCTGCTGATAGCCAGCAAGAAACTGGGGCTTCAGTTCTATGACTGCAAGGAACTGAGTGCTGTTCAAACAAGCACCGGGTCTGGAAGAGGACCCAAGCTTTAAAAAGGAACAGAACTTGGCTGACACCTTGACTATACAGCCTTGTGACATCCTGAGCCAAGCACCCAGCTAAGCTGTGCCTGGACTCCTGATGCATGGAAACTTGAGATGACAGATACATGTTGTCTTAGGCCACCGAGTTTGAGGTAATATGCTGCACAGCAGTAGAACCCTAGTGCTCGCTGAAGTCAGTCTCAAGACAGGGATGTCCAATATCGCCATTATCAGGTATCCATACAGACAACGCAGAAAGGCAAGAGGAAGAGATTTGTGGTAACTTGAAAGGAAAGGAGTGAACTTACTACTTGCAGACAATAGTATTGAATCTCTGGAAATCCCAAGATAATTAGTTCAGAAACTATAAAAGCTATAAGAAAATTCAGTAATGGGGCAGAAATCAACAGTTTCCATGTAAGTAAATAACAGAAAGAAGAGACCCAGCTCACAGCAGCAACACAAAAAGATAAAACACCTAGTAATAACTAACTAATAAATAGGCATGATTTCTGTGAAGTAAGCTTTAAAACATTAATGAGGCATACCAAAGATTTATACAAATGGGAGAACCTACCATGTTTTGGATAAAAAGCATCTAAAGCAAAATGTCAGTTTTCCTTAAGTTAATTTAAAATTTTAATATAGTCTCAATGAAAATGCCAAAAATTTTACTGAGGGTTTTTTGAGACTAGTTGATCCTATGGTACATATGGGGAAATAAGCATAAAAACTCTGAAAGAGAAGAATATTGAGAATACTAGTGCTACTAGCTATTACGGTATATTATAAAGTCATATCAGTTAAAACGGGATCACCATAAAGAGATAGTCTAATGAGATAGAATGGAAAAGTGAACTGTACCTCCAAATACAGAAGAGAATTTCTTAATATGATAAAGAATTATCTCAAGTCACGTGGACTATCCAGTAAATGATTTAGGAATAATTAGGGAACTGAGGGGGGGGGGGGGGGAGCTAGATTCAGACATTATATCTTACATCAGCATAAATTCCTAATGGATCAGGGATTTTAAAGTTTATAATAAAAGTATAAAGGTTTTCAAGAAATCTTGGAAAATGTGTGTGCGGTGTTGGCATGAAAAAGACCTTCAGGGAGCTAGAATAAGCAAAGACAAAAAAGAAATGAAAAGATGGTTTACAACTAACCTCCCTGAATGATAAAGAACTTTTAGAAATCGGTAAGAAAAGGGGCTGATAACCCAATATAGTCTATGTTTCCTATTTGAAAATAAATTTAAAGTAATATGCCATTTGCCTTAACAATAAATACTATATAACATAAATAACAATAAAATATGTATAAGCCCTCTATGGAGAAAATTATGAAATTTTGTTGAAAAATTTGGAAGAAGAACTAAATAGATTGTTCATGTTCAAGGACAGGAACGTTCTACATAGGAAAGATTCTTCCTAAATCCATCCATGAATATAAGGCAGTTCTAATCAAAATTTGGACAGGGTTATTGTAGAATGTCACCAGCTGATCCAAAAGTTATCTGATAGAGTAAACAACCCAAAATACACTAGAGTAAAAGTGGGGAGAACTTGCCTTACCAGATGCCAAGTATTGTAAAGGTGTAGTAAGGAAGGCAGTGTAGGAATAGACAGACCTGAGAACAAAATTGAGAGCCAGAAATATATATATCCCCTATACATGGGGATATAGATAGGCGGTATTGCAGATTGGTACAGATAATTTAATAAACATACTGAGGAAATTGAATATCAAATCAGAAATACATATTGAACCCTTCACCTCACACCATACAACAAAAATTAACTCCAGATCAAAACCTAAGGATGAAAATCAAAACTTTAAAGTTTTCATTGAAAAAGTAGGTGAGAATCTTTATGTCCTTGATTGAATAGACTGTGATTTTCTAACACCTGAAGGGCACAAACCAGAAAAAATGTCATACATTTGACAATCAAGATCATTGTTTTTTAAATAGGAGTAGTTTCAGTGGAGTCATATAAGCAGTGTTTCAAGGTGGTTTGAGCAGTAAATAAGCGATCAAAAAGTCAGGACAGGGAGTGTTGACTCCTGTTTTGAGAAATGTCGAAGGGAGAAGGAATCTGAAGCCACATGATATTTTGGAAGAACACTTGGCCACTAGGAGATCTGGATCTGAGCCCCTGATTCTACCACTTACTTCCTGAAAGACCTCGCACTAGTTCCTTAATCACTCTCTTGACTTACAGTCTAGCTTTCCTTCGTTTAGACCAAGCTTCTCACCTCTTGAAAAATATTTCAGTCTGCAGCAGAGAATGCTCAGTCTCTCTCTTCGGTGCACCCTGAGTGGTCGGGAATTGTAGTGAGTTCCTCACAAATCTGGCTAAGCAGACCCTTCCATTATACATATGACACATATAATTATACGTACAACATGTACAATTCTGTTGCTTGGTGGCTGCTCATCCATGCTCCTGACTCATTTTTTAAAAAATCTAAGATGTATGTAGAGTCAGAGGGCTGAAAGGGACTAATGATTCCAGTCCTGTTCTTAGACAGATGAGGAGAACTGGAGACTCAGATGAACTACTCAGGATCACTCGGTGAGTTACTGACAGAGCTGCCTCTAGAACTCAGACCTGATTACTGACCTTGGGACTCTCTCCAAGTTTATCATGCCCTTTCTGAAGTCTTTCTGACCACAAAGGGCTCCCTCTTTCCGAACACTATTAGATTTGCTGTCTAAACATCTCACAGCACTTAGTTACTGTTTAATAATTTTTAGTTAGCTTTTCATATGTGTAGGCCATCTCTCCAACGAGACTGCAGGTCCTTCAAAGACTAGGTTAGTGTTTTCTCTGGGTACGTATTAGTAGATGCTGTGTAATCCTGAGCAAGTCTCTTAACTTCTGCTGACCTTAGTTTCCCATTTAGGAGATGGAGATATGGCTTGGACCCCATTATAGCTAAAATCGCTCCACAACAAATCCTACCTTTGACCTACTTTTTTTCCCCAAACCATCTTCATGACAACAAAGTTTTAGTTCAATGAGATAAATAATATTGTACAGAGTTCATCTCCTCAGGATTGAACTTGTATAATACTTGCTTTATGAACCCCACAGGGATGTTGTGGGATAGGAAAAAAATAAGTATATGAAAGCATTTGAGAATGGAAAAAGCATTATTCAAAGAGCAATAACTCCTTGACGGGTCAGGGCAAGAGAGGTATCTCTAATGTGCTTTTAACAGGATCATTCTGGACAGGCAAGTGAGTCGTCCTGGCAGATACCTGATGAGTTCAGAGTCTGCTTCATGGAGATGGGAGTAATTGGCTTGGAGGAAAGAAGAAATGATGAAGTAAAACTGCTTTACAACAGTTACTGAATTAAGGGTTATTATGGCAGATGCAATTCTGTAGCAACATGTTCATAAAGAAGTAATGGAAGGAGCTATAGCAAGAAATTTTAAAGCACCAAAAATTGCACTATGCCAATTACAAAAAGTTTAATTTGTATTATGTATAAATTATTTAGCAAAAATACATCCTTTAAAAATTCTATACATTTTTGTTATTCCTAAATTACTATAAAAATTTTCCAGTCTTACTGCGAGGCTTTTCCTCTTTTCCAAAAACTCAAAATTGTGGTGCACCCGGGTGGCTCAATCAGGTAAGTGTAAAACTCTTGATTTCAGCTCTGGTCACGATCCTGGGGTTGTGGGATGGAGCCCCACATCGGGCTCATGCTGGAAGTGGTGCCTGCTTAAGATTCTCTCTCCCTCTGCCCCTCCCCGACCAAACTAAATAAATAACTCAAAATCGTGTTTTAAGAAACTCAGCAATGTGTAAAAGAGGCATTCACTAAATATGCCGTGTGCCTTCTATTTGTGTAAATGCATTGCACGTTGTAAAACATTGCTCGTTTCAGGTATTGATTGATCTCTGGTGATTCCCACTTGTCTGTCTCCCTGGTAGTCCCCGTGTAGCCCAGATTTACTGAGTGTTAAAAGGGAACAGCTCAATGCTGTTCTCATCAACAAGCTAACTTAGTGCAGGTGACTAAGTCCCAGACCATATTTCAGAGTTAAAGAAAGATTCATTGGAGAAGTAGCCAGCTGGAACCATTTGTTATTTATCGCCCATCACAATCTGTACATATTTTTATGCGAGGTCAACTCGTGACCAGTTGTTTTTAGTGCATGAACTAAATCAGGTCAGCCTGTTGACCCCTGAATGGTGAGTGATTATTTAGAGAAATCTTCTATGTCATAAGAAAATTTCCAAAATAGGCCTTTGTTAGGGAAACTTAGTGACAATCGGGACTCATCTTGAATTTACATTAATTAATCAAGAATCTAAAACATGTATGTTGTTTTAAAAAGTGTAAAAATTTGGAAAAGGAAGAGAAATAGAAAAAAAGAGGGAAAAACACTTAATGGTCTCACAATCGAAAGGCAATCTTAGGATACTTCAATATATTGTCTTCCAATAATTTTCTGTATACTTTTCCTAACATTTTAATGAAAATTTCAAACATACAGCAAAGTTGAAAGAATTTTAAATTAAATGCCCATACACACAATCCTAGATTCTGCTATTAACATTGTACTGTAATGTCCTCGCTTTGTCCCATATCTGCACATTGACCCATCCTCTATCATCAATCCACCTTATATTTTTTAATTCACTTCAAAGCAATTGCAGACATTAGCATGCTTCTTCCTAAGTAATTCAGCATGTGTATCATTAATCAGAGTTCAGTATTCGATATAGTTTCTTCTTTGGGGGTAAAACTTACATACAATGATATACAAATCTTAGGTATACAGTTGCTAAGTTTTGACATGTGTATAACCCAACCTCTATCAAAATTTTATTTTATATTTTTGTTTTCCCATTGACCATTGAGTTTTATTTTCCTTGTTATTACAAGTCTTTATAAGTATAATTTTAATGATAATATCTGTTGATAATTTAAATTTAACCCTTTAATTCATCCTGAAATAATTTTGGCATTTTGATTTGGGTTGGAGGTTTGAATAGATTCTTTTCTAAGAAATTAAACCTATTGTGTCATTGACATTTATTATATCTTACCTCCTTCATTGATGTGAATTGCTTTCCTATACTTTTTTTTAAAGATTTATTTATTTGACACAGAGAGAACACAGCGAGGGAGAGAACACAAGCAGGGGGAGTGGGAAAGGGAGAAGCAAGCTTCCTGAGTAAGCAGGGAGCCCTATGTGGGGCTCGATCCCTGGGATCATGACCTGAGCCAAAGGCATACACTTAACGACTAAGCCACCCACGCACCCCACTTTCCTATAATTCTGATTGTCTGATCTATTCCATTATTTTTTCCATATATATTATGGCATTTTCCATCATCTTGCCTCAGTACTCCTCACAAGTATGAATAGCCAAAGTAAATGTTGAGTTCTTATATTGAACACATGGCTTTGTTTCAGCTTCTAGGGTGAAATTGGGGCCTGGTGCCTGAGAAGCTTTAGGCCCCAAACTTTCCTTGTTGTGTTTGGGACCCAGATTTTTCATTTGCAGACTTCCAGACCCAGAAGTTGAGTGGGAGCATTGCTTCTCTCAAGGCCAAGTTCTGGGTCCTAGGCTTATGTATGTTTCCTCTTCTTTCTTGTACACTTTCCCCCAAATTTATCCAAATGGTCTAGACTAATGAATCAGTATAGTGCTACTACACAATTTCCTAAAATACAGACTGAATTCAGAGGGTGGTATTTCAAGTATGTGTATGGATATTAACTGACATTATTCCAATTAAGATCGTCAGTATCAGTGCCCTGATACAGTTACCACTAGAAGCCATAAATCTGTGCATTCATCTGTCGTGTGTGAGCTTAACTCCCTTAACTGAGAAGGGAGAAAGTCTACCAACAGAGAAGCAGTAGTTACAATTCAGGTGATTCCAGAGCTGTCTAACAGAGACAGGAGCGGACTGTGAAGTAAAGAGCTCCTCGTTGCTGTCTGTACTCACGCAGAGCTTGATCGTGTCAAGTGTGTCTAGGGAAGTACTCGTGCTTTGAAGGGTGAGCCTCAGAACAGATGCTTTCATGTTACTCTGGCTCAGCTAAGTGTTCCTTTGTCTCTTGGATTAATTATGATTCGGTGCAAAATTTTCCTTTTTTAACAGGAAATAAAGGAAAAAAAGAGATTCTGCAAGATGTATATGGAGGACCTTGTGAAGGAAGCCACGGAAATCAACATGAAAAACGAAGCCCTGCAGAAGCTTTGGCCACAGATGTTCATTGAGCTTGTTAGGGACGCAGTCATAGAAATCCGCAATAAAAATGCCTACATGAAGCTTTGCCTACAGCAGATAACTGACCAAAAATAGAAATGGCTTTTAGTTACAGTTGATTTTAGCAGTTTTGTGTTTTTGGAGGTTGAAAACAAGTAGGTTAAACATGTCGAAACAACACTATCCTACAAACTAGAAAGCCTAGCATCAAAACACTATTGCCTACCATTCCCGTAGTTAAAGGTTGGAAGGAAGGAAGGAAGAGAGGAAGGAAGGAAGGAAGGAAGGAAGAGAGGAAGGAAGGAGGGAAAGGAGAGGAGAGAAAGGAGGATTAGCTTCCTACTTCAGCAGCCAAACAACCTCTGGGAACTAAGCCGTCTTGAGAGCTCGCTGGGCCCTGTGCTCGCACCGCTGTCTCCGGCTCTCGCTTCGCCCGGCGCCCCTGCTCTAGCCCCAAGCACGGAGTGCTGGCTCAGGTTTCAGCATGAGTTGCTTCTACCTACTTGCAGCTGAGAATTTCCAGTTATTTCCCTTTTTATTTTATGTCATGATTTCCAAGCCAAATACACATTCTTTTTTATGAGTGAAGAATAAACTTGTTAATAAATTAGTAAAAAAAAAAAAAAAAAAGTGTGTTGGCCTCCTTCATCTGGTCAGAAGCGTCCTATTTTCTGTTCCTCTCTAGCCGGGTGGGAGCCCTTCTCTTCACTTAAGTAGGCAGAGGCTCCACCCTTGCAGGGATGCGTCCTTAGGGCACCACACGGGGTCGTGGGCGTCACTGCGGACACAAAATATGAACGTGAGTACAATGGGGGCAGAAAGAAAATGCTTAGTGTGAAGGGACCCCCAAGTGAGTGTGAAATGCAGTCACAAGTCAGAGAGTCTGCTTCTCTGAAAGGTGTTCGTTTCTGTTAGCTGCTCGGGGGCTCTGTCTGCAGGTAGGTGCCCGTCCCTGTGCCTCGGGAGTAGTAGGGATTCATGGGTGAAAGGTTCTCATTTTTCTCATTCCCTTTGTAGATCAAACAGGTAAATACGATGCAGGCAGGGGTTTGTCCTCGTTCACGCTGGTGGGGAGAGTGTTTCGAGGCCATTAGCATAGCTGGACATCATACAGCTTCAGTTCAACCACCTCACAGGTCGCTAGATAGGAATTCTCCGACTTGCTCAGATTTTGCCGGGCAGCTCTCTGGGCAGCAGGACCGCCAGGAGGTGGGACAATGAGAGCGGAAATTGCAGGACACCAAAGTCACACAGAAATGCTTGGAAGGAAGCTAGGCAAGCTGTGCCGTTCTCAGGCGCTCCCCCAAGAAGGAGTGCTCAAGTTTAGATGGTTAACGTTCCAGAATTCGACCTTTTAAGTCCCGCTGCCCTGGGTTTGTACCTTCGTGCTTAAGCTACCGTTTACCAGCCTGAGGCCCATCTGAACCACACCGGCCTCATGATACAACCTACCTTAAACAGCGTTGTGAGGAGCAAATGAGATGATGCATGTAAAGCGTTTATCATAATGCCTGGCACACAGCGAACACCAGTAAATGAAGCTGTTCTTCCAGAAACAGGTTGAACCACAGAACTGGTGCTCCTGGACAGGAAGAACTTTTAGTTTCTTGATGATCCTTAAGCCTTTCGAAATTAAAACATGAACCATCTCTCATCTGGCTGGTAAAGGGTGATTTCTCTCGGGGTTTTCTTGTTTGATATGGAAATGAGATCCCACCTAGAGGGAGACAAAGAAGAGAGGAGAGACAAAGATGTCTTGTTCAAGGGCTTCCAGTAAATAGGAAAGGCCAGAGCTTGTGATCCCTTAGGCATGTGGAAAGCTTGCTCACTCAAGTTTTTGCAGGTGAATGATCTCTGGCTTCCTGAATGCTGCCTCTTCTTCCCTAACCCTCCCGTCCCTGATGCTAAAGGCATCTATCTGACCCTCATATTCGCGTGCATTCTTGGCTGTCCCCAATTATTCTGGGAATTTGAGGAACCGTGGGTCAGCACTCGGTGACTTGGCAGCAAGCCTGCAGGCACTGCTGGCTCTACCCAGATCTAGTAGTAGGGTTTCTGTCTTATTCCTGGAACCAAATCGTCTAATGCTCGAGCTCGAGTCACTTGGTCTCTCATCCCTTTGTACCTCTCTTGCCTGCCCCCACTATCCATAGTAGATGGATTTCTACTTCTTGAATCCTTCTTTTGCCTGGTCCCAAACTCCCAATGGCTATGTCCTCCCATATAACTCCTATCCCCTCCAGCTCAACTTCTTTCCAAGCCATTTTGCTTGCTGGAGTTCCTAGGTGTAGATAATCCCCAGATGAGAGGACAAGGGGACCCGAATCTACTGGGCGTGGAATAATCTAGTGAGGGTACAATGTTGTTAGTGGTGATTTCCTAGAACAAGTTGTCCTCTCTACTTGGAGTTTCCTAGGGTCTTTGGGAAAGGAGAAGAGAGGCACACCCCACAGTCTGAGAGTATCTGGGTTAGTATGTGCCGAAGGATTGCCTTTTTCCAACATCAACTCTCAGGCAGAAACAGAATATTGTGGTTGCTTCAAAAGCAGAAATGTCCAGTATCCCCCATTTGCCTGCCTCCCCCCTGCCCCCATGTCTGGTTCTGCAGTTAAATGGTTAAATATGCTGCTAGATCTGGGGTTGGTTGCTAAGTGTGCCATTGGATCCGAGACTTCTTAACTGTGCTATTGTCTGAGGATGGTGCTGGTCTCGGCCTCCCCCTTCCTAAGCTTCCCTCCACTGAAGGCCTGACAGGTGAGACAGCAAAGCCTTGCCCTGCTTCCGAGCTATTCCCGACCAGGGCAGGGAATCCACTAGGATTCATGTTCTCCTCCATTGATTAATAATGGTGATCATAATAACAACTAAGACTGATTAATATTTTGTATTACTAAGCCCTTTGCATGCATTATCTCATTTAATCTCCCAGTGTAAGTATATGATACATACACCCATTTAAATATTTGAACACTGAGGCACAGAGAGGTTGAAAACCTCAGCTAAGGCTATTTTAACCAATAAATAATAGCTAAGACCTGCTTTCAGAGCCACTGCTAGTTTTAAGGATCTCACATCTGAGTAAAATAAATGAAAGAGTGAAAAGAAAGGAAAGGAAGAAGAGGGAAAGAGGGTAGGGGGCAGGGAGGACAAAAGAACAAAGGAAAGAAGAACCTGACTAGTCAGCAAGGCAAAATGCAAAACAACACAGAGAGAGTGCTCAGGAAAATACTAAGTTTAAATCTTGAAGAACAAAGGTTAGTTTTTGTAACCTGCTTTTCTGGGTCAGCTGGAGATGGAATGGTTGCCATTGCCAAGAAGTTCAGAGCCAAGTTTGAAACGCGATCATAGCAACTGTGGCTAACCAGTATTGATGGAATATTTGTTTATCTTTGATCCTGATTTTCTACTTCTGTTTATGTTTTTCCGGCTCATCGTGTGTGTCTTTTATTGCAAGCTACCTTGAGCCCTCTGTGGAAAGAGGGTAAGGATATATATCTAAAGTATGCTCAAAGCCCCCAGGAATAAATGACCCCCGTGGTTCTTAGGCAATAGGATAGCTTGCAGTTTCTCTTCAGGAGACAATGAAACTGTTTATCCATCCTTCACACCAATCTCTCTAAGCTTGACACAGAGAGTTGACTTCTTCTCTTGTTTATCTTGAAATATTTCAACATGCAGAAATGCATGTAAAGTAGTAGTATCTCAAATAAATACCCTGTATCTACCACCAATCATAACAGATATTAATATTTTTCCACACTTGCTTCAGATTTAAAAAAATAAAATATTGGAAGTAAAGATGGAGCCTCTGGGTACTTCGTGCCTTCCCTAGAGGTAATCACGATTCTGAACTTGAACCTCCTTATTCATTCATGTTTTCATACCATCTGTATTTATGCATTTATGCATGGGGAGTTTATTGAATAGATTTTTAAATATTTTCAGATTTTAGAGAAATAGTATCATGCAGTGTGTATTTTTCTGTGCCTTCTTTTTTCCCACTCAGTTTGGGAAACTAGGGAGTAGCTGTAGGAGCCCTACTCAGAAGCATAACTGTTGGGAGTAATCCTATGTTTTGTTTGTTTTACTGCTGTTTGATATTCAGTTGTATGGCCAATGTGGAATTTACACATCCATTTTCTTGTTGGTGAGTATTGAGTGATTTCTAGTTTATAACTATTACATACTGCCTTGACTATACTTAAATATATATGTTTTGAATATACTTTGACTATACACGTGAGTTTGGGAGGTACATAATTACTAGTGGAATTTCTGGGTCGGAGGCACACACTCAACTGTATTGAATACTGTCAAACTGCTCTCTGAAGTGATTTGTATCAGTTCACATTCCCATGGCAGAGAATACAAGTTCCAGTTGTTCCACAACCACAATGACAATTAGGTTTTCACGTTTGCAATCTGCTATATTACGTGAAAGATGTGTGTACTTGAGAGTGGCCATTATGCCCAGAACAATCTCATTCAAGGGCTTTTTTAAAAGATGAAATTTAGGTACAATGAAATTCACTTACGAGTTTAATTTGATTAATTTTGAACATTAATCAATATCCCAAATAAGATACAAAACATCTTAATCATATCAGAAAAATTCTTCTAGTCAATGCTTGTCCTCCCCACTCAAGCAACTATTTTTCTTTCATCGTTGATTAATTTTATCTATTCTAGAACTTCAATAAATGTAACAATATAGCACTTACTTTTTTGTATCAGGTTGTGTTTACCCAACGTAGTGTTTTCGAGAATGACTCATATTGTTTCATGCATCCATGATTTGTTATTTTTTATTCCATAGTTTGAAGATACCACAACATGTTTATCCATTTTATTGTGTTGTTTCTAACTTACGGCTATTATGAATAAAGACATCTTTGGGCGCATGGGTGGCTCAGTGGGTTAAGCCTCTGCCTTTGGCTCAGGTCATGATCACAGGGTCCTGGGATAGAGCCCCACGTCAGGCTCTCTGCTCAGCGGGGAGCCTGCTTCCCTCTCCCTCTCTCTCTGCCTGCCTCTCTGCCTACTTGTGATCTCTGTCTGTCAAATAAATAAATAAAATCTTAAAAAAAAAAGACCTTTTTTTATACAAGGCTTTTTGTTCAGTGGACCTGCACATTTTTAAGGTTAACTTTATTAGGAATTGCTATACATTTTAATGAAAGAGTTGTATAATTTTATACTCTCTTTAGCAATGTGTAGAGAGTTCCAACCACTCCACAGATTTGCTAACATTTGTTATAATAGGGTTTTTTATTTTAGCTATTCTAGTGTGGCTTTTTCAGCCATCTTTATTTATTTTATTTTATTTTTTATTTTTCCAGATGTCTACTGCTGTTAATCACATTTGTGTACGCTTTTTGGTCATTTATTTATCTTCTTTTGTGAAGTAAATGTTCAGGCCTGGTACCCCTTTTTAAAATTTGAGTTATTGGGTGCCTGGGTGGCTCAGTGGGTTAAGCCTCTGCCTTCAACTCAGGTCATGATCTCAGGGTCCTGGGATCGAGCCCCGCATCAGGCTCTCTGCTCAGCAGGGAGCCTGCTTCCCTCTCTCTCTCTCTCTGCCTACTTGTGA